TGAGGGCAAGAAAGGCTTTTCATATAGTGGTGTTATGGACTCCTGCAGGAGGACAGGGAACCAGGAATGGATGCGGAGACAAATGGCATTATCTAGACAACTTCATTGTGTCTGGCTCAGGACTGATGTCTGTCTTTCATGTATGCCATTTTGCTTAGTAAGACTATCTCATTTTATCCATTTCACTCTACTCTTATACGTAAATATGAAGCGCAGTGTAATGTAACATAAATCCCTGCAGAGGCATCTCCAGACAGATCTTGTACTTGTTTTAGTCATTTGATTCAGAGAGAGTGGTGAAGGGAAGTAGAGAAGAGTGGCAGAGGAGCGTGGTGGGAGGGTCAGGTAAACGAAGGAGGAGGAGAAGAGGAGGAGAAGAGGAGGAGGAGGGAATAGACAGCCACTGGGCCTGACTGTACTTGCCAGCACATTTGGGGAAAAGCTCTGAGAGCACAGCCTTATACAGACATTTCCAAGAGAGCATGTGCCCCGGCCGTGCACTGCGGTTTCCTGTTAACCCCCTGCTGACCGAGAAACCACTCAGAGATGAGGAACTCTGGCTGTAATAACCACAAATGAACACAGACAGGGTTCAGTTTGAAGTGGTTATTTCTAAGCATACTCGCAATATGTACATCATCCTGGTGAAAGCTTCCTGTGCTGAAGTCCTCTGTTGTGTTAAGCAAGTCCTTTGCCGAAGGTGCCTTAAAGGTTGGTGGCTCAAATCCGCGCCAGAGCATCAGCCAGTGACCTATTTGTGCTTAAGAGAAAACCCTCTTAAGTCAACTGGTCAATTAGTTCGCTAAACTCCACAGCCAGCTTCAGTGTCCTCACGGTTGGACTGGTGGTCTTCGTCCAAGGAAGGACAGGAATAGATTGTTTATGGCCGCGCCTGTCATGGTTTATTCCAGTACTAAAACGCAGTCCAGTCAAACCCCAGCCGCGAGTCTTCTGCGGCCTGCTATACCCAGCGGACCGGGTCAGCACATGGACACACGTGTTGGCATGTTGACAGGTGTTGAGGGCGTGTGCTTGTCCTTGTCTTCATGTGCATGCGCCGCACACGCTTTTTAGAGTCTCAGTGTCCGTAGTTTTATCAATAATGCAGCCGCTCACTCAGTCTCACTCCCGAGCCCTCGCTTTCTCTGCCATTAAATATGCATCCGTTTCCCAGTCCTGTGTCTCTGTCCCCTCCCAGTTCCCATAAGCCCTCTCTGCCCCATACATCGACAAACACGCTTGATGCAGATGAGATCAGAGTGCGCTGCAGTATTTATCTGTTCGACCTGAGGTGGTTTTAACCTGCTACAAGTGAGCGATGGGCATTGAGTGCATACAGGCTTACCGTTAACAGTGACCTTAAATCCACAGTGGCTTCCCTGCCTTGTAAAAATTCCTTAATACGCTGTTGTCAAAATAGTTATGTGACTTTCTGCGTGCATCGTTTGTTCTCTACCATTTGAGTTCAAATATTTAAACCACATATCCAAGATATCACAGTTTCCACAGATACTTTGAGAGTGAAAATAATCAGTTTTAAAATATATTTGATTGTTGTTGTTTTTTAATTATTTCTTGCACACCCTGAGCATTAGATATTGGATTTTTAAGCCGATACAGATATTTGAGAGTTACAAACATAATAGCAAATGATATATCTGCCTAAAAACATAGCATAAATAATCATGTTTAGTAAGGACCCCTTCAGGCTGCTTTTAAAATCATTTTGACAAATGTATATACTTAAGACATTCTACAGCTGAAAAAAAAAGCGTGCCATTGCTATTTGGCACACTGTACTAAATTATCTCAAACATGTCTGTTATGCTTTTTCTAATTATTAATATGTACACCTAGCTAACTGATACAGTCTAATACACTGGTTCTCAAGCTATGGCATGTGTACCATTGGTGGTACGCAAGCTGCCTCTAGTGGTACGTGGATATTTATTTAAATATTTTATCAAAAAAATGTAAAGTTAATGTAAAAAAATATCAGCAGTTACGCCAAAACTGGGCGTAAATCAGCCCAACTTCCTTATTTGGCATAGAGACCTCTTTGTTTGGCACATGGCAGCATACAGTATCGATGTCAGATAATTCAGATTCTGCAAAATCCTGAGGTCCCTTTTATCAACAAGTTTCATGCCAGATCTCACCACTATCTGTATTTACACTTTTTTGCTTATATTAGAAGCTCTTCCTCACTTAGCACTTCTAGTCTGTCCAAACATTGTCCAACATTAGATCCTGCCTCATTACAAGGCCCTCTGGTGATGGGTTTTCGGCCTGAAAGTATTTAAGAGGAATGTGCTAAGCTTCAGCCTAAGAAAAAACCTTTTTTGCCAAAATATTAAAATAAAAGTAAAGTTCTGAAAAAATCTCTCTAGCTGCTGTACAGGTTGCCAAAGCATAGAGGAAAGAACGTTACTGTGAAAAACATTCACCGGGGGGCACACTTACTATAAGACGTGTGCCAAACAACACAATCACAGGAAGGCGTTTTGAAGTCGATATAATACACTTTTCTAGGATTGACAGCAGAGCCAAAGCTATCTGGTGTGTTGTGAAATTGTAAACCACTCCCATGTGTTACACAGTTAATGCTAAAAGTTACTCACTGTTTGTACCAGGAGTGCTCAAACAGTATAGGGATATGTGTAGGCCTAGAAATGTGTAGTAGTTCCTGGTTGGAGCAGAGCGAGCATCACGCAATTCTGTGCTCATTACGCTCTCCTTTCTTTTCATGTAGCTTTGATACTGTAGCTGTCAGGAGTGAAGCAAACATATCATTTCCAGTTAACATGGACTGAATTTTAATGTTATCTACGTATGTGTGTGTGGACATTGATTATTCGGTCTGAGGCCGTCCTTATTAGGCAGTGTTGGCAGCAGGAAGTGGGTTGTGGCTTTGGTGCTGTGTCACAGGAAGTAGCAGATTGTATCAGGGGTGGGACAGATGGAGGGAGAGGTGGAAGAGATGGATTAAGGGACTATAGGGAGAACATAGGGGGCAAATAAGGAGAGGAGGGGGAGGAATCCGCCACCTTTGTTCCTCTGTGTCTGTGCTCCTTTCTGTCAACTGTACTCACTGTTACTTTATACTTCCTCCACTTTGTCCATACTCGTTTTGTACGGGCCATATTTGTTGTGGTATAAAATTGCGGTATTCTTTTCTACAATGAACGATTTCTTTATCGCGAGATATCAGTGTCTGAAATGCAAACGCCTATGCAAACACATGCACACACGCGCAGCCTCTGCTGCTACCTCAACCTGCATATGTGCGGGCATTCTTGAATGTGTTGTAACTTGTGTGTATTCGGCCTGCGCGGAACTCTAAATAAATGTGTTGTCAGCGAGCTCACAGCACATGTTTTCTCTCAAAGTGTGTGGAGGTGGAGGTTGATGCAGAGCAGGTGGAAGATTCCAGAGCCTCGTCTCGTTGGCGGTTCTCGGCTCAACTTCCTGTCTTTGTCAGCCTCCATTGTTGTCTCGCCTCCCATCTTGTTTGGCATCGAACTAATGTCTTTTTCTCCTCTCGCTCAAATCAACACTTTGCTGCTTTCCTTCTCTTAGTCTTTCACTTCCTAGTATCCTCAGCTCTACTCGTGGAACACATGCTTAACACTTCAGTAACACAATCATGATTTTAGCTGCAATGATTTGATGATTGATTCATCTGCAACCATTTACGGACTAATCAGTGTTAGTTTCTCCAGTGAGAGGATTTGCTGGTTTTCTCCGTCATTGTAAATTGAATATCATTGGGTTTTGCACTGTTAGTCGGACAAAACAACATTTCATGATGTCAGCTGTGTAAAATGTGATGGGAATTTTTCCCATCAATATCAGAATGTATGTACAAATGTGCTGTGTTTCGCCGTCTATCTTGTGTTAATGTTGCGTATGCATGAGATGATGTACAGAGTGGCAACAAATTTCCTGGAAAGGACAATAAAGAACCATTTTATTTTTTTACTGTTTTCTGACATTTTATAGAGCCATCGATTAATCCAGAAAATGGCTTGCCGATAAATCAATAATGAAAATAATCATTAGCTGTGGCCCTAATTGTGATACCTGATACGTGTGCCAAGAGAGATCCTATTCTTTGATCAATACAACTTGCCAGACACTATTTCAATTTCACAAACTCCACTGTCAGCATGTTCCAAATGATACAGTATGATCCATTAGCTGGATGGTTATTTCCTAGCACACTTTCAGAAGCACTGTATTGAGACTATTCATCTGTTAAAATAGTTTATTTATAGTGGAGACTACTGAGTGTTTTTGGTCTGTTTGTCCATCCGGTGTCTCCAATTCCTCCTCACCTCCCCTTGTGTTTGCTTCTTCCCTTCCAGCTGCAGTCCACACTACATACAATCATTTCATAGCGTTTTAAAGTGGTAAAATGTTTTAGATTATACTAATTGATCTGTAACAAAAATTGAATTTGTCATCAGATATTGTATTGTATCTTATTGTTTATGTTATTTATACTTTATACTCACACATACGTATATAATTTATATTGCAAAATAGAGAAGAAATAAGAGTATTTGTCCACATCTTGTATGTAGATATAGCCATGGAGATCTATTATCTCCATAGACCTTCAGAAACACAAAGTTTGACCACAAATATCCTTGATCACACCTTTATAGTCTGAGTGTGCATTTCCTACCACAAACCTCAATGGTTTTATTTCTGTGGCTATGTTTTCGTCTTGCAGTCTTTATTTTCTTCTTGGCTACAGGTAGGAGATGTGTTGTGTTTTGTAGGCTTGGACCAACAAAGAATGCACCACTGAACATACGAGCTCATACAGATTTTGCTTGGCTGCCTGTACCATTTTTGAAAAACTAACAAATCAAACTTTAAATTTACTGACTGCATCCTGAGTGAGTGATGTTTTTCGTTTGTTTTGGGACTTGTGGCCTTCATACTCTAAAAACTCAACCTAAAATGTTTCTGTCTTGCTCTCTGTCTTTCAGTGAGTCGAGTATTTGCCAGGCTCGTGCCACTGTGATGATATATGACGATGGCAATAAGAAGTGGCTGCCGGCGGGCGCTGGAGCCCAGGCCTTCAGCAGAGTCCAGATCTATCACAACCCCACCAACAATGCCTTCAGGATAGTGGGACGCAAGATGCAGACGGACCAGCAGGTACAACTGCCAGCTTCTGGCTCGCTGTGGGTCTGACAAACTTTGTGTGTTTGGGGCTTCTGTGTGAGTTTGCCTCTGGAGGTGGAAGTGTATGTAGTCTTTTTTGTGTTTATGTGTGTGTGTGTGTGTGTGTGTGGTCTCTTGTAAGTACCTGATGGTGTATGAGCAAGCAAGTGTGAGACAGACTATCTTTGTATGTGGCCATTTATTCATTAACTATTATCTATCAAACAGCACACGAGGGCTGTGCGACAATACAGACAATATTTACTGTATATGCTGTGGCCATTTTATCAGCAATACGTAAGAAGACACTGGTCAATAGATTTTATTACTCTTTAATTGCATTCATTTAGTCAGTTATTTACTTGCACTTATGACAGTTTGGACTGTGTACCAGCAAGACATTTAGTGCAAGTGTGGCCGCCTCTAGTATTACAGAAAAACTATAGCACCGGAGCTCGCAGTTTAAGAGTAGATTACTTCTACAGGTTGAGTTTATTCCATGAATTCAATGTTAGGACAGTGTGAGGGGATAAGGCGCGCTGTATTTGTTGTTGAAATTTCTCAACTTGACAGGACACTTGTGTTCACTTTGTTTATCTTGTCAGTGGCAGCTCCTCTAAGTGTTTTTATGCTTTGGGAATGAGAGAACATGTAGAGAACATTTCTGCAAATGGCCGAGAGGAAGCTGGAGTACTATACCAAGCTCTCAGATGAGCTTATAATGTTATAAGGAGTTCGGTCTAGACCTGCTCTATTTATGAATTAGCGCTATACAAATAAAATTGAATTGAAATTTTGGTTTTAATTGTTACTGTGAGGATTTCGAGCATTCTGCCTCTGTACTCATTTACTACAACGGAAACAAACCCAGGTTATTGTATTACGAATGTAAGCTTGTGTTTTACTTCTGTTCTATAAATATCTATGTTGGCACTAGTCTGTTTAAAACTAGTGTCATTGATTAAAGAATGGTTAGATTGTTATGAAGACAAATCCTTTTGTAAAGTCATTTTCAGAAATGAAAAAACCCCCATGGATATCAAGATGTATATCCTTTATTGTCAGAAGCTCAAAAATAACAAATATCAAATAACACACTCCCACATAAAGACGAATTTCTGTGGAACACGTAGTGGGCATAGTGAGAGACTGTTCTTCAAACCTGAGAAGACACCTGCATGTTGGATAAGAAGAACAAAGAGGGTTTCCTTGTCGTTATTGCCAGACTATGACTCACAAGATAAAGGTGGGCAGATTCCAAGTTTAAAACCTGGGTAAACTGAGTTCGGGTGGGTCTATTCTTGACTACGCCCCTGTTCTGCCGGCTGCCTCAGTGTCTCTCTCCTTCTTTAAACATTTAGGACTCTTAAGCTTTCCCCAGAGACAGGTCTTAAATTGGATGATGTTTCCTGTGAGATAGTTAGCCTGTTCAACCATTTCCTGTGACAATTTAGGGGGAAGCCTGATACCCAATAAGGACTCTATATTTGTGTCGGATGGAGACGTGCTTTAGGATGGTGCTTGGTGAGAGCACAGAGGTGCTAATAAGAGAGAATATATATATATATATATATATATATTTACTGTCATGTCCCCTCCTATTCCTCCTGTTCTCTCTATAGCTGTTTATAGAGTAACTTTGTTGTTTTCACACTTTTTTTCAGTTCAGCAACCCAGCCTGGTTGTATGATTAAACTGCTTTTTAAAAAGGAGATCATCCTGGTTTTCTATGTGTTTCTGGCCATATCCACAGTCTGCCACACCTACCTTTCTTGTGTTTTGACAGCATTGTGGAGAGTTTAGGAATGCCACCGTCTCCAGTGGCAGCTGAACTTGCAACCCCTCTCTTTTCAGTGCATGTTGCCCGCTATGATATTCACCCCGACGGGTCTCCTCTCCTCCTCTCTGCTCTGTGGAATCCAGTGGCTGTTAAACAAATAGTGAAATGGTGCGTCAGCACATTCAGGCAACGCTCAAACCCAGGACATTTTTTCCTCCTGGTTCATTGGCTTCACGCCACCTGCTGGGTGGAATATAAACCAGAAGAATCTAACAACAATAAAACAGACACTATAATTTTAAGCATAAGCAGGGATGTGGGTTTGAGGTTGTTTTTGTTTTTCCAGTTTTCTAGTGAGGGACACAGCTCGTATTTATTTAAAGCTTCTGAGCAGCAGGTTTGAAATTGGTTTAAGATGAAATCAGATCTTTGGAACTGTTCAATGACTCTCCTCACCATCTCTACCAAATAGATCCTTGGAATTGATCATCTGTTCCTATTCCTTCCACAGGTGGTTATAAACTGTCCAATTGTGAGAGGTTTGAAGTATAACCAGGCCACACCCAATTTCCACCAGTGGCGGGATGCCCGGCAGGTGTGGGGGCTCAACTTTGGCAGCAAGGAGGATGCTGCTCTATTTGCCAATGGCATGGCTCACGCTCTGGAGGTGCTCAACTCCATGGCGGACGCAGGTAAATTCACGAAAGGCTGTCTACATTCAGATTTGATCATGAATGTGCAACAGACCTGACTGTCATCCCTGGGATCAGTGCTGGCAGCTCTCTGTCCACACTACATGAAAAGCACAGCGTCTCTGAGCTTTTAGGCCCCCTCATATTGTACCCTAGTAAGGCTGACAGATGCTTTCTGATTACTAGTTCTAGTGTTTCGTTTCTGTAGGTACATTTCACACACAGGGCTAAGGCTGGCTGCTCTGACGTAGGATTATTTGGCCCTTTTATTTATGACGGATTTTCCTGGAAAGTGCATTCAATTTAAGAGCAGAAAACCTTTTACTGAGATAAACAAATTAGTGTTCTGAGAAAATAAGAACTTGTGATGCATTAGAAAGGCCCACCCTCTTGTGTTTTGTGTTTTGTCTTATGTGTTCTTAAAAAGTGCTGTGCTGGCTCTGGGTATGGTTTTGCGCAATATGATGCAAGATTGGTTTTTCTTTTGGTTTTCCATTTTTTTTAATGCATTTTTAAGTTGACTTGAATTTGCTCACTCCAATCACATAGTATCAAGTAACACTAGTTTTCTAAAGTAATATAAACCCCACTCATTCCCTTCTTCACTACTGATGTCTGCTCCATAAGACCTGTTGATATTCTGCCATAATCCATGTCTCAGCTATTGAGTCTTTGTTTCTGTTTGTTTATATCAGCTGCCTGTTTAGATAAAATCAGATCCATTGCATATCTCGTGCTGTTAAACCATGAACAACACTGTAAACACAATCTGTACTGTAAGAGCTCTGGAACAGTGTGGCAAACCTACTGCAATTATAGACCATAAAATGCTCATCCACGGTGTACAGCACCCTCTATCATATCATCATGGCAGTCTACATGATGGTCAGACTTTGGACACTCAGCTACATGGGTTGACAAGGTGTGTACACCAATAAAAGCAAACAAACTCAAAGAGTCAAATAAAATAAAGTCATAAATTGTTCAAGAGCAGTTACACAGCAGTGTCTTATCCCATGTTCTGTAATCTTTTTTTATTTGTTGTAATGTTTTCTGTGCTGTGTTTTGGCAGGCTATGCAACACTTCCCCGCCCACTGTCAAATGGACCTCCTGCGGAAGATCTTGAGCAACAGCGGAGGTACTTCAGACTTCCTCTTAATGAAACCCACCTTTACTTTGCTAATTTTAATAAACCACCAGCCACAATTGTAAATCCCCTCAGATGTTGACTGAGCCTGATTCAGCAAAAAAAATTATGAATGTATGCAGCTGATATGATTGACATTTTTTCAGGTTTCTTCTGGGTCTGCAGGCTGGATCCAGCAATAAGCAAAGTATTTATCTAAAAAGTAGATTTTCTTTGGAGCAAGTTGGCTATTCTGCGAGGTTTATGTTTATAACAGAAGCAAACGTATCCTCTGGGTTTAGTTGCATAACAATCAATTGCAAGTCAAGCTGTCTTGGCTTTGTGGTATCCCTGTTGGCACGGTTTGCACACACGCGTATGTAGAGGATTTGATGGTATTAGCCTGACGGTGCTAAACCCTCTGTCAGCCCCTGTAGGTTAAAGGTCAGAAAGACAGCAAGGCGGACACCTCTCACATCAATCCCACCTTCTTTGCATCTATCGGTTCCTACAGCGAGACCTGTTGTGCACGCCTGCATTGACTAGGCATTAACCGTTTAATCTCATTTAGACTGAAAAGTAATATGTTGCACAGTCGGGGAGGCTTTGTGATTGGCTACAGGGACTGACTGTCAAGTTACTAGCTGACCCAGTGGCTGCTGACGTACTGTGGCTTAGGGAGCCTTTAAAACCTTTGAAATCCAGCACAGATGCAGGTGGATATTGTTTCCATTAATGCTTTTAGAGCTAATGAATTTACAATTTCCTCCAGTATCAGATGGTTGTAAGAAAAATCTGAGAAAACGAAATGGACATAATCTCCCCTCCCCCTTTCCTGGGAACTCTGCCGAAGTCAATCAGCTGTTCTAAAAATCACAGCGACTCTCACTTTGCGTGTATGGCGTGTGTGGACCTGTGCATCTTTGAGTGGGTTTATACGCTGTATGTGTGCTGTTCTGTATACAGCTGTTGTGAGTAGCAGATGTTGGGGGAGAGGGAAGGGAGCAATAGTGAATCGAGGCAGCTCGAATTAGGCCACTGTGTCCAGCTGTGGACTTTATAGTGACAGGCTAATCAGGAGCTATAAAATCCATCTCTCCTTTTAGCAAAGTCTCTATATTGAATACAAATCCTGGTTAGAGCTCTTTACACTTGTGCCCAAATGCCATAATTAGACAGAGTTGCTCGAAAACAATGGATGTTGCATAAATAATCAAATAATCTGCAGGCCATTTACATATTAACGGCTGAAAGCTGGCATTACTCATCATGCCCCTTTCCTTTCTCGCTCTCTGCTTTATCTCACGGTTAGCCTGTCTAATCATATCAGCCAGATTAAATATAAAAACTTTTTCATGTGTCTGTCCTGTACAGTCAATGATTTATTTTGAGTATGTTTACATATATCCGTTGCTGACAGATGTGTTTGTCTTTGTATGTAGATTGGAGCAGCAGAGGTTGGAACAGCAGGAACGGGAGCGACAGGAGAGAGAAAGACAGGAGCGGGAGCGGCAGGAAAGAGAGAGACTGGAGAGAGAAAGACAAGCTGCTGCAGGTCAGGAAACACCTGGTCAGGTCAACATAACTGCATGTAACTACAATACAGTCTAGGCTTGGTAGTTCCTCATATTTCACAGAGAGAACACAGTGGTCATCATTTCTTATGGTCTTCACACGCTGATAACAGTAATCTACAGGCCGTTTGCATACTGTGTGAGAAGGCTCCCAAGGCTCTTGAGCCATTTAAATAAAAAATATGCAAGCAGAGACACAGTATCAATAACAGCAAAAAACAAGCTTTTAACTATATTTAAACCTATTATACTCATTTCCAGCTCTATATTATTTGTCTGAGACTCCACTAGAGTAGCTTTGCATGATTAATTCTCAAATAACATCCATAAACCTAAAATCATAAATCCATAAAACTAAAACAAGCCATCTCTTTAAGCCCCCCATTTTAATTTAGTTCTAAATTTGTGACACTATCAGAATTTTGACACAGGCTGTCTCTGGGCGCCAAAGCTCTAAATGGGCTATCTTGCATTATGATTTAGGATCATTGTTTTGGATTTTAGACTAACAAGTTAACTACCTTTCTCCCAAGATTGTCAACCGTCTGGGACGTCACACTGTCATTCGCACATTGTCTTCACTGAACAGTTTCAATATCATCCAACTGCAGCCACAAATGGGCGTTCTCGTGCTGGTGGGGGTTCCCGTTTTCGCTGACTGGAACGCCCCCTTCTTCTTCGCCTTTTGATTTTTCGCATTTAAAAATCACATTCCTTGAATCCCCTTTTGGCTACCCTGTAATACTGGATGATATTTTAATCCTGTGGTGGTCAAGTATTTGGCTTATTTTACAAAAAAAAAAGAGATAGAAGAATAGAAAGATATAGAATATAATAAACAGATAAAGATAATAGAAAAAAAAAAAAGATAAAGTAATAAGATAGAAAAATAAAAAATAAGACCAACAAATTACAGAAGAAAAGAAAATGCAGGATAAATATAAAAAATATGAAAGAAGACGGAATAAAGAAAAAAAGAAAATATAAAAACTAAAATAATAATATATATTTCTTAAATTATTACTATAACAATTCTAAATTGCGTTTTTTATAGATGAATAAAATATATGAGCTCATTACCTAACATGAATACTGGGATTTTCAAGCATACATTTGTGAGTGTGTGTGCAAGAAAGAGTTACGTGCGGGAAGGCGTTGGGTCGGGCTGGAGCCGGGTGGTTGAGCTATGTGTAGTTTTTTGTCGTGTGTTTTTCACTACTGTCCTTGCATTGAAGCCGAGTGATGTGCTAGCTGGATTGTATGTTGTTTCTGCATGCACACTCCATATGTATGCAGGCGTGTGTGTGTGTGTGTGTGTGTGTGTGTGTGTGTGGTGTGGAGCAGCAGCTGAGGGCTGGGTGTGGGCAGCGGCAGCGTGTTGGGCGTGTGTGTGGTTTTTGGCCGTGCGTGTTGTCAGTTTGCTGTTGTGTCAGCAGTGAGCCAGGGAACGCTTGGCATGCCTATTCAGGCCGGGCGGACCCTGCTGTGCCCAGCTAGCATTCGAGCTGCGGCGGTTGCTGGGAGGCACATGCGCGTCGCGAAGAGGGGAGCGTGTGCAAACTGGCTGCCAAGTGGGTGGAGGGTGAGGTGGGTGAGGAGAGG